TGAGGTCGTCTGGTCTCATGTCACTGTCTTCCCGTGAGTCTGTTTATGTCTATGAATTGGAAAGCTTTATTCCTGAAGTACGTGTGAGTATACATTTCCCGGTAAAATCTTGATATCGGGTGTTGACATATCATCGGCACGCACGTGTACTATTGTTTACCATGGGCCTGTTCGTTTATGCGGAACAACCGGTTTGACCGTTTATAAATGTAACAATTTCGGGTGTAAATCCTGGCGGACCTGCAAATGTGTATGCAGGCCTTGCAAGGCTTTCTCAAGACTCGCCTGAAAGCAGCATCAGATTACTAGGTCCGACCTTATTTAATAAACGAACAACAGTGGTCCGATCGGTTTGACCGTTTAAACGAAAACGGCCCAGCAGGTGTTACTATAATTTGCACTACGATATTGAATGCCCGATACGCAATACGGAAATGACGACACGGTGTACATGCACATTTCGATTAAGATAATTGAGTCCTAGCTGTACTTTTTCCGGAAGTATGTCACGAAAATGGACGCTGATGACGATGTGTCGAGCCACCTTAACTAAACGTCATACCAAGCTGTATATGTTAACGGCGTCCCGTCAAGCCATTCGTACTTCACGTCCTCGTCATCGAATATTTTTTGAAGACCTTTAGTGGGGGAAAAAAGCAAAATTCAAGTTATTAAAACAAAAAAGAGTTTATAGTTAAGAGCTCCAAGCGAGTTATTTACTGTTTTTATTGTGTTCCTTCTTATTACTATTGTTTGTCCATCTTCGCTCCTCATTATTTTTTTCTGCACAATGGGTTCCGGGCGTTTTATTACGAATTACTGGCCGAATAGTTAAGTAACTTCAAATGAGCAATAATGGGTCAGGTCATTTATTACGAACACTGGTTAGGACTGTTACCTATATAAGCCTCTCCGTTGTCCACACCGCCCCAGACTTTTGTCATCAGGTAGTGAATATAGGTCATTTCCTCTACGGATCCTATGCTGACGAGATAACCTCCCTTAGCCGCACAGTGGTCCCGACTCTGTATCCAGGACACTCCATGTCTGGCGCTATTGCTATGATTGTTAATCTCTGTAAACAGATTATAGCAACTTGCTGCCAACCGTGTCCATCCTGGCAAACAACCTAAAATAATGGTGGTACATTGGTTAGTTATTACATTAGAGGTTTCAGTGAGATCAACAAAGGGGAAACGTGTTGTTTTTAAGGGAAAATATTATGTCAACAATAGTAATTGCCTAAACGTTTTGTTTATAATTTCTTGAATCTCAGACAATATTACCAATAGCAATAATTATATAACATTATTTTTAAGAGATGAAATGTTAACGCGTTAACATTGATATAAAAAGGAAAAGTATTCCCTGCGCGTCTGAAAGGAATATCCTACGTATCATCCAGTGCTAGATTTCGGCTATCTCTTCCGATCAGTCTGGCACCTTTCCGCGACATTTCGCGGAATTTTCACACGGCGATGTATTCATCCGCACGCTAAAGCAAGTGACACAACCCGTATTTTAAATATTATCTTTATGTGTATTGTTTTGGTGTTGTAAGATTCCTGATGTTGTACACAAAATATAATCGAGACCGTGGTATACATTTTCGTCTTTGTAAGGACGGACTACATTGTTTACGCGGAAGCATTCAAATGTAGCTTAAGTAGTGAAGATATCATATTTATTTGAGGCTCCGTACGGGATCTTTCCACGTCGAAGGGTTTCTTAGGTCATATCATTTCTTTACTTGTTTCCAAAATAAAGTTTGATATCTTATCTATTTACCATACTGAAAAAAACCTTGTCGTAAAACATATTTCTACTGCTGATATAGATTATTTTATGTACATATCCTACCTTCATCTGTTATATTAATTTCCGTTTGAGCGGAATCAACTAACTCATATTTTCCGAAGAATCCCTTGCCACTTCCGTCACCAGCTCGAAACTCTATCTGCATGGTATGCCAACTTGATACAAGAACATTGTATTCCCGATCTGCAGAGCACATCTTTGATAAAAGTGATAATTCTCCATCCAGCGTCACATCGTAAACTGCTATGAAGGATTTTACGCACGATCGGTTGCTGTCGACAATGTCAAGGTTGAGTATGTGTAAACGAACGAAGTTTCCGAAAGTTCCATGGATTGTCCAGCTGCAAGTGTCCGCCATTGAAATATCGGCCGGAAACCCGGGGGTACCGATGTAGGCCGACTGTAGAGTACACGTGATTATACACTGGCCCGACTCCAGTCCACATCCGGACACATCTAAGAGAGAAGGATTGTGATAAAAAAACGCATCATGCTATTATTATAACAAGAGGCCCAGAGGGCCTGTACCACTCACCTGAATATCTAGGCAGTCATAGCAAAATTTTCTCATTAAATATTATATTGCATTACAAATATTTCACTAGCAAACTTTGTCGGCTCCATCTGTTGAAACTATCAGCCAAATATTATTATAAGTTCTATGCTTTTTGGTTTTTCTTCAGAAGTTCTCTGACATATTTTACCCTGTGAGCTTGTAAGTAGGTCAACGTCATTTTCCTTCTCAAACTTTGTTAGCTCAATCCCAAACAGCTACCAGCCAAATCTTATGAATTCATTCCTTTTGTTTCTTCAGAACAAATTTTTTGAAATGTTGTTGACCTCTGTGACCTTTAACGTAGGTTGAGGTCATTTTCATTTGCAATCTTTGGTGAGTTCTATCCCAGGAAGCCACCAGCCAAATATTATAATTGTATGCCCTCCGATTATTCAGAAGAAGTCGTTTTATGTTTTTGACATATTTGACACCTGTGACCTTGAATTAAGTCAAGGTTATTTTCATTCTCAAACTTTGTCGGGCTCTATCTCAGGAAGCCAACAGCCAAATATGAAGACTCCATACCATTTAGTTCTTCAGTAGAAGTCGTTTGAAGCGTTTGACATATTTGACCGCTGTGACCTTGAAAGTAGGTCAAAGTCTTTTCGTACTCAAACTTTGTCGGGCTTCATCCAAGGAAGCCATCAGCGAAATATGAAGATTCCGTACCATTTAGTTCTTCAGGAGAAGAGGTTTGAAGCGTTTAACATATTTGTCCGCTCTGACTTTGAAAGTAGGTCAATGTCATTTTAATGAGAAAACTGTATAGCACTCCATCCTAGTTACCTAATGGCAAAATATTATGACCCTTGGCATTATAGACTTGAGAAAAAGATTGTTATTTTTTTTCATATTTTACCCCTGTGACCTTGAAAGTAGATCAAGGTCATTTTAATGAGTAAACTTCATAACACTCCATCCCAGGTACCTACTTGCAAAATAGTATGACCCTGGGCCTTATAAAACTTGAGAAGAAGATTGTTAAAGTTTTTAACATATTTGAACCCTGTGACCTTGAAAGCAGGTCAAGGTCATTTTAATGAGGAAACCTCATAGCGCTCCATCCAAGATACCTACTGGCTAAATATTATGACCCTTGGCCTTATGGAACTTGAGAAGAAGATCGTTATTTTGTTTATCATATTTGACCGGTGATCTTGAAATGCTAATTGAATTTTATTTCATGATGTTGAAGCATTCAGAAATGGTAAATTAATGAATTTTATTTATTCCAGTCAGTATGTATTGACAATAAGAATAGATTCATCTGTAAAATCTTTGTAGTTTTTAAGCAATAATCCTCTCTCATATACTCAGATTGAAAGAAAGTAAGACGATTAACAGCAAGGGATACTAATCTTCATTGAATGTGTCTTTGATATCGACTATGTATGATAACTAAAAGCTGTTCAATGCTAAAACAAAACAGTTTTCCCACTCAAGAGGACTATGCATGTTTTGTTACCTGATATCACTTTCTTACCGCTTTCTTCGACTGCAAACTCAAAATTGCGTTCTTTAGACTTCGAGTATAAGAAGCAGGAGTTGACCTCGACGTGTAAAGTTGAGGAGGAGGAAAAAATGGTAGACTTCTGAAACTGTTGTACTGTTGCAGTCTTTGTCGCGTGGGAAATGGTGATATGTGCGTCTAGAGTACGATAAATCTTAATCTCATCACTGCACACAATAACATCTTCTGTAGTGTCCCCAGCCTGTTAACAAACTTAACTTTTATAAAACATGTAAAGACCAAATTAAAAAAAAATAAATAAAAATAAAAAGTAATCTTTTAAATGTTGCCAAATCTTTGTTAACGCGATTTTCAACAACTTTATATCGTATCTTCTAAACTGTTACTATTTAAAGTTGATCATATTTTGTACTTCACTTCCTCAGCATCATGTTACGTCTGCAAGACCGTTTATACAAATACAACTAAACACAATGGAATGAACAAAATGTATACAGAGGTCATACAAATAAATAAAACAATGTTACAAATATCGGGTATTTAAAAGTAAAATTATTTTGATAATATACTATAAAGCATATATAACACAAGAGAAAAAAAGGCTGCAAATAATAAACATGAATATAACAAGGCTGAATAAGTGTATCAGAAACCCTGCCGCAACCCACTTCGGGTATAGTTTGATGTGTGTAGTATACTTGCAAACTAAACACCAAATAAGTAATCAAAAGGTAGTACATCATACTTTACCCCTTTTAACCTGGCACATCATATATCACAGATATTTACCTTGACAATATCATTCCACTTCACTTTGCTTCCAAGTGAAATATATACGGCCTCCAACTTGATGAATTTTCCCGGTGATGCCTTTATAACCCAAGCACAATTAATGTGTTGACCATAACTCAGGGGAAACGAAGGAGAACGGAGATGGCGAACACCCTCCCCCGGAGCCAAATATATATCCTCGCCACATTGTGACATATCTGTTATATCTGTCGAGAAAAACAAAATGCACATTCAATACTGGAAAATATTGAGAAATTACAGACATTCCGTACAAACATCAAACATATCTTTTTATCAACGTGCTTCTCTCTTAATAATAACACAACGGTTGTAACCTTATGAGTATGAATGTTGTCTTCTACGAATGCACAAACGTTCGTGGAATTTACACACGTTAATTGTAAAAAAGCAGTATGTACAATAAGTAACTGAAATGTACCTTTATTCTCTATATATATTCATTGTCAATGTTTGTGGGAATGTTCTCATACCTTGGAAACAAAGACGGTTTCCAGCAAGGTTAGTATACATGCTGTCTCTGACCCAAGATGAAGTAAACGACCTGTAGTAACGGTGGCCAACGTGTACGATACAAATTATGGTTCTAGCGTCATAGCTGTAACTATTATAGCCCTTGTCAACAACTAGCTGACGGCATTCCTCTAGCGATACATTCGATATTACATTTTCAGGGGGAAACACTGCCCACCAGGAATGATATTTCAGTTCTTCGAAACCAAAATCCAAGCTACCATTCTCACACCGTATTGCACGCAAACCTGCAATATCAAAAAATAATTTCTTTGCAACACTCTGTTCAAATAACGACAAACATGTGTATAATTTGAATATAATATGAAATAGAAATATGAACTTTTTATCAAACATTTTATTCCTTTATAACTACCACACAACCATTACTTCTGTACAGTCTTACAGCCTAGTAATTACAAAATTTGAAAACCAATGAAGAACATTTAGTTGAAACCTATTTGATAAATACATAATTTCTAGGACATCAGATGGACAAGATGATCTAGAGCCTTAATTCTATATCTTTCTTATCCTGAAACCAGTTGTTCTCGCTTTTTCTACTGAATTAACGCGCGCCATGTATACAAACTTTAACATATAACTATTTAGCTCATTAACAAACGTTAACTCTTTAGCAATGCTACTCTATGCAAATATGGTTCTTTATGTAAATACTTCGTTTTGGGCATCCAATTACTTCAAGCTTCAGGCAAGCGTCATTTTGTGTTCCTAGTATATCTAGGTGAATAAACCGAGTCATAACTTCATGATTTAAGTTAAAATCCTGAATTGCTGAGCTTTCATAGTGGTCAAACGTTTCAAAGACCTGTTGATGGAAGCAAAGGAAATCAAATTGAATAAATACTTTATACGTTCTTGTCATTTTATAAAGAAAACTACCATCTACTAGTACAATAAGAACCCCCAACATGTGTGTTTAACGATTTAATGATACTAGAGAATGTCATTTATCGACTTTACAACGTCAAAGGTCGAACGACGTCACGTAAGGACGAAAATATAAAAAATATAAAAATATATATATATATGTTCTTGTTTGATAGCCAAATAAACAAATTTCTATTAACGAAGGATGTATAATACTGACCAAAATGAGTTAATGTTAACATTTTCCCGACATTTTGTAGATTTTTCTTTTTATATACCTTAATGATTCCAGGAGGATCATAATATGTCGTGAGGTTGCTCAAATCGTTTCCATACTTGACGGTGAATTGTTTTGTGAGTTTTCTTGTGTTGCCTTCCTGCCAACCCTGGATACGCAGCCCTTGTACAACGACCGGAATAATAAAATCCACCTTGATTAAAAAAAAAATAAGAGAAGAGAAAGAAAATGAGTATTTATATAGTGGGTTATTTTAATGGGAATTCATTTTGATGATTCGGTTAACTCTATTTGTGATCGTCAAAATGTAAATTGCTACAAATAAACAACAGTTTAATCAAATGTAGACAAAATATTTATTGTTGTCAAAATGTTGTTTTCAACTTCAGAGACCACACAAGAGTATACAGGGATAGAATCAGAGCATGCCGTGTTGATTGTAATAAAGAGATATACTGCAGAAGATATAGCATCGCAGTAATTACTGCGTAAAATAATTAGAAACAAAGTTAAACAAATTATAGCATCCTGTTGATATTTCGTCCATGTAACTCAGAAGCAAATTATAGAAACCTAGGGCAATTAATTGATAAACAAAGTTTGAATTACCGAATTAAATTATATCAGTTTATGGACGAAATCGAATATTTTAACCGTTCACACCAAAGCGACATCCCTGTACCATTTGTTGCTTTAGTTGGCTCCCGTTCAGAACTCACCCTAAACCAGGGGCTAGTATCACCGACAGCCGGGCACCATCCTCTCCCTGGAAGTTCCAGTCTCCCGTCGTCAGACATGATATCTTCGGCAATGTTGGATGAGGAATCGATCTGGTAGTCAAACACATCTCCGGACATCAACCCCATATGTTGTCCACGCCCTGTCTCTGCATTTGAAAACAAGTCATGATTATAATATATATAATTATAAGCATGTTTATATTATCCTGATTTTATTTTATTTCGTTATAGGCGAGAATCAGCATATAAAATGGTATTTATCAAAAGGTTTTCAAAGTATTAATGTTATTTATAGAAATACATTTTTTACAAATGGTGATTTCCACACTCCTGCAATCATTTACGCTTACGGAAAATAATAAATCTCAAGGTTGACATTTTCATGAAAAGTACATTAAAGCGTTCAGATTTAGTTTGGAGAGGGGTTTTTTCATGGTTAATCATGTTTTGCAACGTTTGGATAACTGCTTAATATAAATTATCATTTCTTCCAAATGCATACTACTGTATATTCAGCATACCCAAGCTTAGAAGAGAGACCATGACAAATACTCAAAGTTTGTACCAATACGATTTCGTGACTCTACATTTTTTGTTAGGATCTGTGACGACTTTCCCTTTGCTTTTTATCAACTCACTTCATTATTGTCTCTTTTGTTGTCTTTTAATGTAAAATAAGTCCTCGTATACATTTTTACTGCCACTTATATGTATCTTTTAAAATAAGGATGGAACTGGTGTTTACACGAACAACTACAGTTATAGATTTTCTCACAACATTTATTTAGATTATTTCTATTAACTAACTTGACCTTACGTATTCAGGATGAATTTTTGTACAATAACTAGCCTTCGGTGACAAGCTAACCGAGGGGATATGCGATTACAGCAGCAAATTACAAAGGTCATTACTGTTGTTTTGTTCATGTATTAAATGTTGTCGTATTGTTTCATAGTGACTGTTTATTATATGTTGTGATATGTAAGTGTTTATGTTTCGGTCTTGAAAAAGGGGTGGATTGCCCTGAACTGTCGTTATTCTACGTCCATATTACAATAAGAATATGTATACTCACTTTTACCAATGATTTGCATCTCATTTATTTCTAAGAAGTAGAACTTCCCTGCGTTATAGAAAGTGTCAGTTGAGTCAAAATTTCTTATGGTGATGTATCGTCCGACGATCGGACGCATGCACTGGAGACGGAACACTTTGTTCTTGGTAGTGAACCTGATGTCGTCGCACCGCGTGGCCCCGTAGTCCAGGAAATCCCATTGGTTCTTACTCACGAAGGACCCAAGTTGTCGACAGTTAACAGGAAACCATTCTGGGTGCAAAAATGTGAAAAAAATATTATTTGTATAAATGTTGTCTGGGTTTTTTTTCTTTAGCAAATGAACATTCAATCTCAACACCAACTCAATGTATCACCCCATGAGAACATTACTCAACCTTAAATGGAAAACATTAATCAAGCCAAAAAAATTGCATAATTAATAAAACCGAACAAAAGCTTATGGTATGACTGACTTAAAATTGTATATGGAGATAAACGTCTTGTTAACTAATGCATAATGCTGATTTTTTCAAAAAGATTCATCAGTTTGGAAATACGTTATATCAAAGTTTTACTTTCTACACAAACAATGTACGTATTAAATGTGTCGCAACATTTTAAGACAGTCTAGTCCCCTTGTCAAGTTATGAGCCATACATAGCTTGACAAAGGGGCCAGTCGGTTTTGAAACGTTGCAATACGTTTAATACGTACATTGTTTGTGAAGAAAGTAAAACTTTGACATCATAATGCTGATTTTTATGTTTTTTAACTACTATATTGATAACTGTCATTGTAAGGATACTATTATTCATGTGTTGTAAAGCGCATTAGAGTAATTTTACAAATTAAATAGGGCGCTATATAACTATTGTATATCAATATTAAATAGGGCGCTATATAACTATTGTATATCAATATTAAGTAGGGCGCTATATAATTAAATAGGGCGCTATATAACTATTCTATATCAATATTAAATAGGACGCTATATAACTATTGTACATCAATATTAAATAGGGCGCTATATAACTATTGTATATCAATATTAAATAGGGCGCTATATAACTATTGTATATCAATATTATATTAGTTAAACTCACGGTTCTTGCGGTGAATAAGTATAGCATGGACCTCGTACCATTCTTGGATGTCTACTTGTAAAAATGGCTTCAACTGAGGCCTAGTTGTCACAAAGGAGACGTCACCTGCAGAAGGAAAACAATCAATGTTCCTGGTTTGTACTATGTATTTAGCTACTTCTACGACTATGTTCATAAAAAATTGAATTCATTAATTATTACAATCTTTCGAATGCACATCAAAATGATAAAAACAATATCATTAGGGTCAAAGTCCTAATGGAAAGGGTTTCATAATGACTCATCATCGGGAGGAAATGCCATTTATCAAAACAAATAGTTACAATTTGTTTCTATACGGATTTTAATTAGAAATAACTGATCCTGTTTATTGTAATTGAGTATAAAATTCACATGATAATTTGATGAATCTATGCTTTTGCGTATCTGCAATTTCATTCAATCGTTGTTATTAAATTTGTAATTTTATAATGATTAATTGTTCGCTCATATTGAAATATCATCATTGTAATTACTGTGTAATGTCATCAACACGTCATGCGCAATATTTCTTATCAACAGTAAATAAATATTTTATATACTTACACACAGATATATACTATATGTAAACTTTTAATTGAACATGACACACACGGATATTTACATTCTATAAGCATCTACATTTATTTTACACAGACATATCTATTACAGTAAATATAATTAAACTTACCATTATATACGGCTTAAACACATTTCACTTGAGTTTACAAATACATATTTACAGAAAATAAGTATCTAAGATATACATTATATCAACGTTTGATTAAACGTGACGCACGGCTACACTGTATAAACGACTTCTCCTGTAGAATTTTGCCATGGATATCGATCATATTTGGTCAGAAGCATTCATGGGAAATTGTACAAATGGTGGGGCTGACTCCCCCTTGCTTAGGGGTGGGGCCAAAAAAAGTGTATTACTTGGAAATGGTTGGAATCCCTACGGTATAACCATATATACAAATGTGGAGTATAAAGAGAAGAATACACATTTGCTTCCAGGATGACCCTGGGGTGTAGCCCCACCCTTTGAGACATAGTCCCTGGATCATAACTTTGAAACGGTTGAGATCCCCACCCCAAAACTATATAAAAAATAAAATTGTTTGGCCTAAAGAGACAAATGCTGTCATGATATTAAAATTGACCCCGGGATCGCCCCATCCTTGCATACTTAACTCCTGGGTCATAACTTTGAAACGGTTGATATCCCCACCCCAGAACTATATATACAAATGCTTGGCATAAAGAGACAAAATTAGTCAAGGTATAAGAACAAACCCTGGGGTCTGACCGAACCCCTAGGGACCTAGTTTCTTAGTCACAGCTTGGAAACAGTTGAGATCCCCACCCTATAACAATGCATATATACAATTGCTGAGTATAAAGAAATAAATGCACATATGCTTCGAGGATGGCTTTGGGGTCTGCCCCAACCTTGGAGACTTAACCCCTGAGTCATAACTTCGAAATGGTTAAGATCCCCACCCCAAAACTATAAATACAATTGTTTGGCATAAAGAGACGAATGCAGTCATGATATTAGAATTGACCCCAGGGTCTGCCCCACCCTTGCAGAATTAAACCCTGGGTAATAACTTTGAAACGGTTGAGCTCCCCACCCGAGACTATAAATACAAATGCTGGACAAAAAGACACGAAAGCAGTCATGATATTAGAATTGATCATTGGGTCTGGCCACAACCCTAGGGATCTAGTTTCTGAGTCACAGCTTGGAAACAGTTGAGATCCCTCCCCACCCCATAACCATACATTAAATTGCTGGGCATGAAAAATCTAATACAGACATCCTACAAGAATTGGCATTGGGGTCCGGCATATTCCCTTGGACCTCATTTGGAGAATATTTTGCCATGATTGCTTAGATATCCAGGTGAGCGATACAGGCCCTCTGGGCCTCTTGTTTTTCATGAAGAGGGAGGAGAAAATAGTTTCCCTCCAAAAGGGTAAATGACTTGCAGTTTTTCGCTTGTGTGATATTTGCTTTTACGTACTGTATAAGTTTAACATATTTCGCATAATAAAATATCTTTGCTTAACAAAGGAAAACGACGTTTTCGATAGCTCGCAAAATCCGTGTTCAATTACTTGGCATTTATTATTTATACCAAACTAATGGATCTTATTCCAAACTACATATATTTTATCAAGATAGTGAAATGTTCAAACAGAAGTATATTAAAGTACATTTATACAGAGTAACAAACTCTATATAATTGATGGAGTGTCAACGTGGTAGTATGGTGTTTGAAAGGTACATTTTGAAATACTTATTTAACCTTTTGTCGCTATGAGAATATATGAATGAAGTTTTAAAGTCCTTAATGAAGGTGTAGTCTTGGAACTGAATAAACGCATGTTGTAGACATTTTTTCCTCTGGTGGGAGCAGTTCACTACAATATGAGCAATGTCAACTAAAACAGATATGCTTGTTTACGGGATTGTATATGTTCTTTTAGGTGAGTCATATTTTCTTTATATTAAATATGAATTTGTTACACAGATACAATGTAAACGTACAAATTGTAGATTCTGTGAAAATTTTATTTGAGCACTTTATGCGTCTGAAATATTACGCTAAATAATAATCATGTTTAAATAAGTAAACTTAATTTATTTTACAACAATTATGAAACAAGTTATTTCAACTTATTTGAATAACTCTTGTTGACCCGGATGTAAACGCGCGGGGAAGCGGGGGAGGGAGGGGGAGGGTCTTAGTGTGGGAGGAAACCGGAGTTCCCGGGCAGATGACCCTTAATCTTAAATATTTATGTTCTATAACTTGACATATGGATACTGGTTTCTACCAACTTCACAAAATGTATACCTTCAGGTATTACAACTGATCCACCTGTAATCGGAATAATTTGGATGTGGTCAGTTTTTGGTGTTTTTTAATCACCACACTAAAATATCACTCTGTAGTTCGGTACAAGTTTTCTTTCACTTGTGTCGCAGACTGTTTACACGATCTCACAGGGTTCGATAATCAGGCTTTTGATGTTTTAATATATGTCAATGATTTGCCTCGCTACTTAATATTATAATATGAAAAGGAAACAAAACATTTAGAATAAGATATCTGCTAGGAGTTTGTATTGATGGCACTTAAAACCAGTAATAAATAATGTTTTTGAGGATCTAAGTTTTAAAATTTATCAAAAAACTGCAAAGTAAAATAAATCAAGGACCCTTTGACAATTGTTCCATTCTACCATACTTTAACCTTTACTTTAATATTTGGGTACACTGCTCACAAAAGTGAATAATATAAAAAGATTTCCAAAAAAGAATATTTAGAATTATATCCGATACAGATACAGTTTTGGAGTGCGAAACTATGACGTCATCGTTTTTGGTAGTGTTTTTTTGGTATTTTTGATATCATTTTTCTGCACAAAGACTTTAATTTTTATGATTTATCGTATTTTATCAGTTATGATCTGCTGACTATGTGAAGTCAAGCGTTTACATAATTTATTACCAGTTTGGCCGATGCAAAAATCCTTACATTTTTTTCCGAATCAAGGCATAAACGTATGATTGTACGGAGACAGCAAATCAGAACAGATTGTTTAAAAGTATTAAGTGTGGGAAGGCATATTCATAACCGCTCTAGTAACTTGTTTGTGGCCCTACCTCATTACAAAAAGATTTATCCTACAGTCTGTTAACTAATATTTGCAATCCTGAGATTCCGGATATAATATCCGTCAATTGTTTATTATGTTATGTACACCGGAAGTGATCATAATTAAAAGCCCACTATTCAGAAATTAAAGCAACATGATTTGTTGTGCTCCAGGATGTCAACCAAAAAACAAATATTAAAAAATATGTACAGAAGACCTCATCCAAAAGGAGAAAAAAGGGCCAAAAAGTATATTGATGCATTTTAATGCAATCTTATTAAAATTAGATCCGAATTCCCGTTCCTCTACGATACTCTTACATTAGGAGTATCGTAGAGGAACGGGAATTCGGATTGATTTTAATTAGATTGCACTTTAATGTATGCTCTATTCAATTGAAATAATGCATCATTCTATTTTGGTTTAAATTTTGTTGAAATACAATACTGTATGTACTATAAATATATTATTCTGTGCTATCAATTTTGCTTCAAGATACAAGATCTTAGACGCCATCATTTTTTTATAAGTGTGACGGCATCGATTCGTGTAAACCTCATTGTCATGACGTCATCAATTGTTGATATTCATTTGTAGTTGCGTTTTTATGTCAAAAAATAGGCATTACTCATGAAGAAGCCTGAAGAGGGCGAAAACACCTAGAATATTGTAACATTTAAACGTGTTTTCGACCTTATTCACAAATCATCAAAAGGACTACCTTAATGTGTCACATAATATTAATCACGACATGTAAATATATAGCAACCCATATGAAAAATATATTTTGATAAGACTTAGTGAGGTTTGCACTGCTGTAATCATTATTTTATAAACACTTGTTGTTTATAAAACAGAATATAGAGAAAAGGGATTACTTGATACACTTTGTTTTAAACACTTTACATGCATATGCACTCCCGTCCAACAGGAAGGTGGACATATACACAGGGTTCAACTCTCGTGTTTAGAGCAGTAGCCGGAAGTACGTCACAGGCGTATAATATCTTCACCGGTCAAGGCCGCTTCGGGGATCCATGTAACATCACCGATCATTTCAAATCCGAATTGATGGACCAATGGGAACAGCTTAGTATCACTGAGGTTTGGACTTTGGATATCTTTTTTGGTGATTATATTAAAAGAATAGGTTAAAAAACATTTGAAGACGAAAATAATTGACAGACATCCTTCACATTATTATCTTAATTATTATTTTTTTCAATATTTCTGTATATGATAAATCAAAACACTTCCTTAAAAACCTATTTTCCTGGTGTGATTACTTAAATATGGAGATGGAGAATTTATTTTTCTTGAAGGAATATTTAGGTACCATTGCTGCTCCAATATTATGTTATCATTGTCTGGAATTGTGTTTGAATTTGTAATACAAATGTTCTTTGTGA